AAGACTGAAGTATATTCAGTCGTGCGAGACATGCACACGACGCCTATCTGAACATTCGATACTAGAGTTGTCTCTCGTGGCTTATAAGTCGGATCTCCCCCCGGGGCTTTGGTCTCATAACTGGGTACTAGGTAGTGGAGCCAAAAAAAAAAAAAAAAAACCAGCCGCAGGTTCTTGACGCCGTAGAACTGCCGACGGCAGCTAAATTCAGCCTCGCCGACTGGACCGTCAACCTTCGTGCCGCGCCCGCGAGCCCCGCCGGCTTCCTAGACGACGCCGGCAACCTCTGCCACGCGGGCTTCCTCTCCGTCGCGCGCGCCATGGCCGGCCCGCTCGCCGCGCGCCTGCGCCGCCTGCTCGACGACGAGCCCCGCCGCCGCGCCCACAGCCTGCTCGTCACGGGCCACTCGGCCGGCGGCGCCGTCGCCGCGCTGCTCTTCGGCCACATGCTCGCCGTCGACGGCGGCCGCGGCCCGCTCGCTTACGTCGCGCGCTGCTTCAGGAGGGTGCACTGCGTTGTCTTTGGCTGTCCGCCTGTCAGCCTGCTGCCGCTGGCTCTGCCGCCCGGCACGCGGCGGAATCTGTTTCTCGGGTTCGTCAACGAGGGCGATCCCGTTGTCAGGGCTGATCGTGGCTACGTCAAGAGCTTGGTTGAGCTGATGGCGAGCCCGGTGCCGGTTGTCGAGAGACGCGAGAGGTCGGAGGAGAAGAGGGGCGAGGACCGACGGGATGACAAGAGGGATCGAGAAGCCAGGAGAGAACGACAAGACACGAGGGAGAGAGACGACAGGAGAGAGAGGGACGACAGAAAGGCGAGAGAGAAAAAGTCAATGGCGCAGCTCATCGGGCTGGGACCGAAAGCTGCGTCCAGAGACGAGAAGCCCAAGAGGAGACGCAGACGACCTGTCTGGCCGGTGCCGACGAGCACCTTGAGCGTTCCCGGCCGCATTGTCGTCCTACGCGGCGGACGGCCCGAGGCAGAGGGCACGAGGAGGAGCGTCGAGGCGAGACTGGACGAGGGTGTCGTCGCGCACATCACGACGGACGAGCAGCTGCGGAGTGTGGTCTGGGGGGACCCCGTGGCGCACTCCATGAGACTCTACGCTGGTCGCGTCGAGACTCTAGCTGTCGGTGCTGTTTTGGGCCGGCGGGGAGGGCCTGGAGAGGACTAACGTGGGCTTGATTCGGCGTTGGCCATATGATACCATCAGATGAAGTTACGAATGTTTATCAACTCTAAATAGGAGCCAAGCTAATTGACAATACACTGCAACCCTCCGTCGTGGACTTTGGATCGTGCTGCATTGCCGGTGGATTCATGGCGCACATCTCGACTCAAGGGCCCTGCCAACGCTTCACTAGCTGGCCCATGCCTGCTCTTGGCATTCACCAGGTGGTAGTCAGCGGCGTCAAGGCAACTCGAGAAGAGCCGCCAAAGCCATTTGGGAATAGTTGGCGTAAGCGTCGACGTGAGATCAACTACACGCCACAATCAAGCTGAAGAGGATTTGTTTCTCAAATACTAGGAATGAAGGGAACATCCTTGCAGTTGTGGAAGCCAGCTCAACTTTATCGTAAGCTTGTTGCCTCGCGTTCTCTTATTTTGGGATCCTCCACTTGTCAGGAAGAGGTAATGTAGGGTTCCCCGTGGCTTCGTTTCCGGCTCCGAGTTGCCGTGCCAAGCCCCGCGGCATAAAACGCCTTGTCCTCAACCTCAAACCAGCAAACCGATTCCAAGGCTTGATTTGATCACACCGGCGGTTACTTTTGTGCCGATTCTGTTTCGATAGTTACATGTCTAGAACGAAGCTTCGTATCATCGTAGCTGGTCCTGCCTATCGTACAACCCTGAGAAACAGACGGTCCGCTGGCGGAGACTTTATGCAGCTCGTTTCCAGACACTCGTAAACTAAGATGGCTGCAACCGGAATCGACGGAGTGCAGCAACGTGCCGTTAAGTCGTAACCATCGAGGTCCGCACCCTATCCCAAGGAGAATCGTGGAAACACTTTCGTTGCCAATGAGAGACGGGATGCCCTCAGCGTGGCTACTGAAAAGGCATCATAGTTGTGGTCTGCATGACATTCGATAGAAACGTTCAGTCGACACCGACTCTCGTCGACAGGATCCCCACAAGTTCGGGGCACAGGATTCAGACAGTGCTTGAAGCTGAGCTGTTCTCAGTTCTCCCTTAGGACACCACAACAAATGACCGAACGAACCGGCCGGATGATCAGACCAAAACATGGTGCCGTGTTCATCAGCCCTGAATCGCAACCCCACAAGCGCACCAAGTAGATCCTGGTACAGCTGCGCGCCTACCGTTGAGTCCCGGACATGTTCTGCTCCCATTGTGGCCATAGATCCGCACGCCCTATCACCACCGCCTTTCTATCAGCCCCCGCATCACCAGAATGTGCGACAGCCCGGCTTTGTTAGTCGTCGGACATGGCTACGCCTTCTTTCTCCGGTATAGCCTCGGTCCGTGCCGACTCAAATCAGTCTCAGGGGTTCGAATCGGGCTTACTCTAATGTGTTGGGGGTCCGGCCTTGCTATCCATGACTCGACATCAACCTCTATGGGCGTGCCACCAGTGCACCCGAAAGGCCCGGGTGGAACAGATGAACCAAAGTATAATAGATGAACCGGCTCCTCTGCCCTTGCCCACCTGCCCAGTCACGACTCACTCAGCACCGTCCACGGTCACCGTCCTTGCGATCTCGCATGAATGAGTGCCGAGACATGGGTCACTGCCTACACAGCACTTCGCCAAGGCGAGCTCACTGGGGTGGAGATTTATCGAATTATCGAATAGAGTATCTGTCGGCCAAGTTCGGGCTGTCCGGGCCAAGACGACGATTTGATCTTTTGGGATTTGCGCTTAGACGATTGACTGGGCTACTCCAGGGTCTTTGAGCCACGCCCTTTACTGAAAGAGGCAAGGCATTCTCTTCTAGCAGGTGACAGCTGCTATTCAACAGAGTGCTATTCATGTCCACCTCTTGGGGGCGGAGCCGCTCCGCAGCAATGTATTTGCCTGGGTAGAGGATACAGCTAAGCCTACCTTAGCGGCTAGCCTCACGATGTTCGTGTTCGCATCGTTAACGATGTCCGTCGACCGAGCTCGACATGAGTCGTATGCCTCAAGGACCCCTGGCATCTAGACACTGCAGCAAACATGACAACCAAGACAGAATGAAGTCGGAAGCCCGGTGTGTCAACCAGCCGCTCTGTCTGCAGAAGGGTGGTCGATGGAAGGCCAAGGCAACTACATCTCCGGACATGATCAAAGTATATAAGAAGGACGATCACCGCTCCTTGGCTTATTTTGCTTCTCTTCATCTCATCACCTAGCCTCATTCTCTCTCTCATCATCTAAACAGCCATCTGCACCTGCTACGATGCTTCCCTCCGCAGTCTTCTCGGTCTTTGCCCTCGTCGGCATCGCCTTGGCTCAGCAGCCCCCCAAGGTTAACCACGACAGTATCAACCCCGTCCGCGATACTCTGGGGCCCAACGGCGACATGATCAGGAAGTTCCAGCCTCTGCTTCACATTGCCCACGGTTGCCAGCCTTACTCCGCTGTCAACACCCGCGGTGAGGTCAAGTAAGATACGCAGCACTCCCTTCAGCTTACACGAAGCTCCACGCTAACACATATTCTGCAGCGCCGGTCTCCAAGACAGCGGTACCACCGCAGGCGGCTGCAAGGAAACCAGCAAGGGCCAGACCTACGCCCGCTCCATGACCCTGAACGGCCAGTTCGGCATCATGTACGCCTGGTACTGGCCCAAGGACCAGCCCGCCGACGGCAACCTCGCCAGCGGCCCACCCGCCAACGACTGGGAGAACGTCGTTCATCTGGTTCAACTCGAACAACGCAAACCAGGCCGGCATCCCTGCGCGGGGCCGCCCTCGGGCCACGGCGACTACAAGAAAGGTCAACAACCCCCAGGCGCAACAACAACAACTTCCACGTCGGAGAACTTCACCAGCCT